CGCCCCACGGACCGGCCTCCAGGCCGGGGGGTCACGGACCGGCCTCCAGGCCGGGGTTCCTCGCGCATTTCGGCGCACCCCTCACGAGGATCGCGCCCCACACGGCGCTCCAACTACAGCTCCAGCCAGGGTGACCTTCTCTGGTTCCATGTTCATTTCGGCGCACCCCTCACGAGGATCGGGTCGCACAGGAAGGCCCAGCTACAGTTCCAGCAAGGGTGAGCGTCTCTTGTTCCACGCCGACTTCGCCGTACCCATCGTAAGAGTCGTGCCCCACAGGGAATGTCAGCTACAGCTCCAGGGATGGTGATCCTCTATTGTTCTACGCCGATTTCGCTGCTTCTTCACGAGGATCGTGCCCCACAGGGAGCTCCAGCTTCAGCTCAAGCGCGGGTGACAATCTGTGGTTCCTCGCCCCTCTCTTCTCCCATTTTCCTCGTCCTCCTCCACCTCCTTCTCCCTTTCCCTGTTCTCCTTCTCCTCCCTTCTGTGTGTCTCCCCCCACCCAGCCCCACGGACCAGCCTCCTGGCCAGGGGGTCCACGGACTGGCCTCCAGGCCGGGACCCCCGCCCTACGGACCGGCGTCCAGGCCGGGAGGTCCACGGACCGGCCTCCAGGCCAGGGTTGTTCGCCCATTTCGGCGCACCCCTCACGAGGATCGGGTCGCACAGGGAGTTCCAGCTACAGCTCCAGCAAGGGTGAGCGTCTCTTGTTCCACGCCAACTTCGCCGTACCCCTCATAAAAGTCGTGCCCCATGAGGGGGGCCAGCTACAGCTCCAGGGAGGGTGATCCTCTCTTGTTCCTCGCCGTTTTCGCTGCTTCTTCACGAGGATCGTGCCCCACAGGGAGCTCCAGCTTCAGCTCAAGCGCGGGTGACAATCTGTGGTTCCTCGCCCCTCTCTTCTCCCATTTTCCTCGTCCTCCTCCACCTCCTTCTCCCTTTCCCTGTCCCTGTCCACCTCCTCCTCCCTTTTCTGTGTCTCCCCCCACCCAGCCACACGGACCAGCCTCCAGGCCAGGGGGTCCACGGACTGGCCTCCAGGCCGGGGTTCCTTGCACATTTCGGCGCACCCCTCACGAGGATCGCGCCCTACAGGGTGCTCCAACTATAGCTCCAGCGAGGGTGACCCACTCTGGTTCCGCGCCCATCTCGGCGCACCCCTAACGAGGATCGGGTCGCACAGGGAGCTCCAGCTGCAGCTCCAGCAAGGGTGAGCGTCTCTTGTTCCACGCCAACTTCGCCGTACCCCTCATAAGAGTCGTGCCCCACAGGGAATGTCAGCTACAGCTCCAGCGAGGGTGATCCTCTCTTGTTCCACGCCGTTTTGCGCTGCTTCTTCACGAGGATCGTGCCCCTCTTCTCCTCGTCCTCCTCCAGCTTCTTCTCCCTTTCCCTCTCCTCCTCCTCCCATTCCCTCGTCTCCCCCCGCCCAGCCCCACGGACCAGCCACCAGGCCAGGGGTCCACGGACCGGCCTCCAGGCCAGGGCTCTTCGCCCATTTCGGCGCGGATTTCACGAGGATCCATCCCCACATGGAGTTCCAGCCTGTAGCTCCAGCGAGGGTGATCCTCTGGTTCCACGCCCCTTTCGGCGCACCCCTCACGAGGAGCGCGCCCTACACGGAGCTCCAACTACAGCTCCAGCGAGGGTGACTCTCTCTGGTTCTGGCCAAATTTCGCCGCACCTCTCACGAGGATGCTGCCCCACAGGGAGCGTCAGCTACAGCTCCAGCGAAGGTGGCCCCCTCTGGTCTCACGCCATTTTCGGCGCATGATGATGATGATTAGGATTATGATGATGATGATGATGATGATGATGATGATGATGATGATGATGATGATGATGATGATGATGATGATGATGATGATGATGCGATGATGCTGATGATGGCAAATACGATGGCGGCGATTATGATGACGATGGTAATGATGACGACGATGACGGTGACGAGGACGACGTTAATGGTCACGATGATGACCATCATGCCGATGATAATGATGATGATGATGATGATGATGATGATGATGATGATGATGATGATGACGATGACGATGACGATGACGACGACGATGACGATGATGATGATGATGATGATGATGATGATGATGATGATGATGATGATGGTGATGATGATGATGATGATGATGATGATGATGATGATGATGATGATGATGATGATGATGATGATGATGATGATGATGATGATGATGATGAGAGTGGGACGCGGACGAGGGGAGAGGAAGGGTAGGAGGGGGTTGGAGAGGGTGGAGATGGGGGTCGGAAGATCAAAGATCCAGCATCGTTCGAAGATCAAAGATCGAAGTTCGAAGATCAAAGATCGAGGAGACTTGCATGGCATTATCTCCTCCACCTCCTTCTCCCTTTCCCTCTCCTCATCCTCCTTCCCTTTCTTTGTCTCCCCCCACCCAGCCCCACGGACCAGCCTCCAGGCCAGGGAGTCCACGGACCGGCCTCCAGGCCAGGGGGTCCAAGGACCGGCCTCCAGGCCGGATCCCGCCATTGCCCACATATGTGTTGCGCAGCAAACCGCAAGTTGCGCAACACATACGTGGGCGGCTCAATACATTTTTTGTCGGATTTCGTTTCCCGCCAGAACACTCCATGGACCACCTTAAGGGTAACCGTCGGAAAACTCCCGGCCTGGAGGCCGGTCCGTTCGGACCGGCCCCGGCCTGGAGGCCGGTCCGTTGCCTAGTAGTAGTAGTAGTAGTAGTAGTAGTAGTAGTAGTAGTAGTAGTAGTAGTAGTAGTAGTAGTAGTAGTAGTAGTAGTAGTAGTAGTAGTAGTAGTAGTAGTAGTAGTAGTAGTAGTTTTCTGTTTCTGTCATTCTTTGTTCCCGTTCAGGCCCTACAGCGGGCCCCGCCCATTCTCACACTCCCTTCACCAACGGACTAATCGACGGCGGCGCAGCCTGGGCACCGGGGCTGGGCGCGTTCCCGCCTGGCGAAGGGAGGGCGCTCGAGCGCGGTCCGGCGTCCGACGACCTGGCGAGGGGGAGAAGCGCGGGCCACGCAGGGGCAGGAGCGGAACTGCGGAAAGCGGCTTCTCGACACTGCGGCGACGTCACAGTTTGGCCACCCCTCGGGCGGCCGAAGCTCCGAGGAGCGCGGCACATGCGAAGCACGAGCCGCGCCGAAACGGCACTGCCACTCTCACAGGCACCTTCCACACTGCGGGGCGCTGGGGTGAGGACAGAACTTCGCCTGCTCTCGCCGAGGCTCGCGCGGCCCTGCTGCCGCCGCCGCGTGCATGGGATCCGTGGGCGAGGCGCGCGCCGCGCCCGCGCGAGACCGCAGCAGCCAGGCGAGGGCGAAGAGGCGATAGGTCGGCCGCTCGCGCGCGGGGCCCCGCCCCAAGACGACCTGGCGAGTGAGAAGCAGGTGCGCCGTGCCGAAGCGGGAGCGCCACTTTCGGTCGGCCTTCTACGAGGCGCCGAGGCCGCAGCGACGTGTTCGCCCGCGTGCAGGGCGACGAGGGTGCGAGCGCAGAGTGTGCGCCGCGCCCAGACGCGGGAGCTCACCTCTCGGGAAAGAGCGAGCCCAGCGCCGAGGCGAGAAGGGATGGGCGCCCCGCTCCGCGTCTGCCACGCACTTAGCAGCGTCGACGTCAAGACGTCCATGTCGAAGTGAGAACTTCGCCGTGGCACTGCTTTGTGATGGGATTGATGCCCGGAAACACCCGGATTGGGCCTCTACAGGCGGGCCGGTTGGCCTGATAGAGGTATACACTGAAACGGGCTGGTGACTGAAATTCCAGAAAGGTGCCACGTTCGACGCGTGCTCACAGACCTCTCCCCTTCCACTTTCCACGCCGCTCAGCCTCTTCGTCATGTTCCTCCTCGTCCTCCTCGGCCTTCCCGTCACCATCGTCAGAAGCAGAAACAGAAACAGCATTACCACAATCATCAAACGTAACAGCAATACCATCATCAACATCATCATTATGAGAATCCTCATCATTACCATCACCACCTTCATAATCGTTCTCATCATCAGAATCAGTATCGCCATCATCATCAGCATCAACATCTTCAGCATCATCATCATCATCATCATCATCATCATCATCATCATCATCATCATCATCATCATCAGCATCGTCATCGTCATCATCATCCGCATAAACATACTCATCATCACCATCATCATCATCACAATCATCATTATCATCCCCGTCAACCTCATCATCATCATCATCATCATCAGCAACATGATCCTGATCGGCAACATCAACATCGTCATCATCCTCGCCATCATCGGCATCGTCATCGTCATCGTCATCAGCATCATCATCGTCGCCATCGTCGTCGTCTTCGTCGTCAGCACCAGCTGCCGCAGCCGCATCCGCATCGTCAACATAAACACTAACAGTATGAGCATGAACATCGTTATCGTCGTCGCCACCAACCATCACCGTCATCATTATCACCAGCAGCAGTAGCATCATCATCAACAACATCAACAGCATCATCATCAGCAGCAGCATCATCATCCCCATCAGCACATCATCATCCACAACAAAAGTAGCTACATCCTCTTGCTCTATCTGCATCTCCTCCTCCTCCGCCTCTTTCTCCTGGACCCTGGACATTCCCCCCGCCCTCGACCCCCCCCACACACTCCACCCCAGGGGGGCGAGCCCGCAGCAAGAACAGGCACTCCGACTGGGTCAACAGCCAGTCCATCTGCTGTCCTGTGCTCGGGTGCTGCAAGAGTCGGCAGTGGATAAACCCCCCTGTAGTAAACCTCCCCTTAGTGAAAACGGCCTGGGACCGAAACCGACGGACCTGGACCCGCAAAAATGTCGGCCGCGACGCCCTCTCGCGAACCGAAAACGGCCGATTCACTAACCGACGTGTCAGGGTAGGAGGTCTGTCCACCCCCGAGAGGTGGCCCTGGCCCCAGAAGGTGCTCCCAGGCTTCCCCACGCCACGCTGGCGCCCCCGGTGGGCGCCCTCCGGCCACCTTGTGCCTCCCTGGGAACGCTGAGGCCACCTGGGGCCAAGGACGCCTCTGGCATCAGCATCATCATCAGCATCATCAGAATCGTCATCATCACCAGAATCGTCATCATCATCAACACCAGCACCATCAGCATCAACAGCTTCAGCATCATCGTCATCACGATCGTCGGCAGCAGCATCGGCACCATCGTCGTCAGCAGCGTCGGCATCCTTACCACCAGCAACAAGCATCATCCGATATGCGCTTGGGGGGGGGAGCCCGCCGCCGAGGCCCTCGGCAGAAAGCACGAGGAGGAGAAGAGCGGGCGCGCGGAGGTGCCAGGCGCGTCGGCAGCCCGCACCGCGCGCAGAGAGGCAGGAGGGAGCACGGGGGAAGGAGAGGGAAAGAGGACGGGAGAGAGCAGAAGTCCGGGAGCAGGGAGGAGGGAGAAGGAGGGGAGGGGAAGAGGAAGAGGACGGGAGAGAGTAAAAGTCCAAGAGTAGGGAGGAGGGAGAAGGAGGGGAGGGGAAGAGGGAAGAGGACGGGAGGGAGCAGAAATCCAGGAGTAGGGAAGAAGGAGAAGCAGGGGAGGAGAAGGAGGGGAGGAGGAGAAGGAGGGGAGGGGAAGAAGGAGAAGCAGGGGAGGAGAAGGAGGGGAGGGGAAGAAGGAGAAGGAGGGGAGGAGCATCCAGAGAGCCCCACCTCCCCTCCCTCGGGGGGGGGAGGGCAAACCGCCCAACTCGTCGTCATCAACCTCGTCATGCTCCCATCTTCCTCGCCCTGCTCGTCACCAGTATCGCCCTCTTCCCTCGCATCCCCATCCCGACCGAAGGTGCTGCGTGGTCAGGCTCGCGTGGCCGTACGTGCCAGCCGAAAGAAAGGGTAGTAGGCATTTTTTCTTCCCCCTCCTCCTGCTTCTCATTGTCTGGATCATCCTCACCATCATCAGCAGCAGCGTCGTCATCATCCTGGTCAACATCGTTATTGCCATCGACTTCCTCGCTGTTGTTAACGAAATCAACAACACCATAAACACATCCGCCACCGTGCCTCTGGGCACGGAGTGGGCGTGTCCTCAGGCATTTGATGCAGGCCAAAATCATTGATTGTCCATTGATGTTGTAAGGTTTCTGGCGTTCCCGCCTTCTCGGTGCCATGACGATCCCAGGCGGCCGTAGAGGCCCCCAAGATCGCCCCAAGACGGCCCACGAGGCCTCCAAGAGGGCACCAAAAAGGCCCAAGAGGGCCCCAAGAAGGCCCAAAAGGCGCCCCAGATGCCAGAATGACGGTCCCAAGAGGGGGTACCGATAGAAAACCCGAACGGACATCTCGAGCCCTCGGCCCCGAGGGGCTCCCCGGGAGGCCCCAGGAGCCCCCCAGGGGGCCCCAACGCTGCCCCAAGAGGCCCCCCGAGAGCGCCGCGAACAGACCCCACGAAGCATCCCTGATAACTCTGACCCACAACCCACGCACAGTGGCGGGATCGGCCGAAGGCCAATAGGCAACCGCTGCCGCCAGCATTATCAGCATAAGCACGTCATCACCATCATCAGCATCATCATCATCATCATCATCATCATCATCATCATCATCATCATCATCATCATCATCATCATCATCATCATCATCATCATCATCATCATCATCATCATCATCATCATCATCATCATCATCATCATCATCATCATCATCATCCAGCATCATCATCAATCATCACATCATCACCAGTATCATCGCATCATCATCGCAGCAGCAGCATCAGCACAAGCATCAGCATCATCAGCATGTCGAAGCCATCATCAGCACCTCATCGTCCATCATCATCATGCACATCATCATCATCAGCATCAGCATCAGCATCATCACAGCATCATCAGCTCATCATCATCATCATCAGCATCATCATCAGCATCATCATCAGCATCATCATCATCAGCATCATCAGCATCAGCATCATCATCATCATCACCATCATCAGCATCAGCATCAGCATCATCATCATCGGCATCAGCATCATCAACATCACCATCATCATCATTACCATCATCATAATCATCATTATCATCCGACGCACCATCATCATGATCACATTATCATCATCAGCATCATCAGCAGCAGTATCAGCATCATCATCATCATCAGTGTCGCCATCATCATCACCACAAACGATCATAAGCATCATCACCACCAACATCTGCAACCGCCATCCATCATCATCAACAAGAACAACAGCTGCATCATCATAACCACCAACATCATCATCATCGTCGTCATCGTCAGAGTGATTATCATCATCAGCAGCAGCATCCAAATAATCACCATCATCATCACCATAACAATCATCATCAGCATCATCATACACAGTATCGTCATCCTCATCATCATGCTCATCCTCATCATCCTTATCCCCCTGCTCCTCCTCCAAATCATAATCATCAGCAGCAGCATCATCATCAACTTCATCATTGTCACCGCTCCCTCCATAACCATCGTGAGCATCGTCAGTATCAACATCAACTTCATCATCAGCACCA